TGTGCGTATGAATACGTGCGTCTCAGAGACTATATTAGATAGAGCTACATCATTTAAAAAAAGGACCATTACAATACACTCACAATATAAATTTGTTTAAATTGTTGCCCACACGCTCCAACAAATCGAATATTTTATAACAAAAATGATTGGTGAAGAAAATCGTATACATTACGAACTTCTAATTTCAAGCGAGATGTTGAATTGGGTGCGGTGCCGCACGCATTTTACAAAAGGTAAATTGCCACTCTCTCAAGGTGCCTATATTCATTATTTCCATAAAAATTTGCGTGCAAGGGACAAGCTAAGAGGCCTGGTTTGCCCACCCAACCTGGGGGTATTATAATCTTGATGACAGAATCCATCATGTTAATAATAGCGCCTTTGTTTCCCGTCGTAAATTACCCTAACAACAAAACATACGTGTTAAATAAATATAATGGCATGAAAGAATAACTTAAACCAAGAGTGCCCGAGCTCAGCATACCGCAGAGCAAACTCCAATACCAATGGAAAAAATCACCAATACATTGAAAAAAGTTTTCGGCAATACAAAAACGAAGTGCCTTCGTATTAGTACAAAAAACTGAGAAACTATGCAATTGTTGTTGCTTAACTCGGCAACGGAAACAACGAACGAAGAGAAAAGAAAAAAACGAAAAATTGTTTTTGTATTTGGGCTTTGCCTATGCTGGGAGCAACACACGTATATGAAACTTCATTTCCCATATGGAAGAGCAATTCCAACAAAAAAGGAGCACAGAGAACAATAGGGCTGGGCACCCGTGATATAAACATAGTATGAAATAAAATAATTAAGTATAGGCAATGCGTATAAAATGTTATAAAAAATAAAATAATTAAATATTTGACTTTCAGAGTTAAGCTAATCAAATGGAACTGAGCAAAATCCTTTGGATTAAAGCAGTGGTTGGCACGGCTCTATCCCGAGGGCATAGGAAATTTCTCTGCCCGAGCTCTGCCACACACACACAGTATAAATGTGTGAAACGTCATGCTCACAGCCTACTTTCTGCTACTCGTTACTAATACTAATGCGTTAAAATCATATCAATGTATTGGGGGACCGACCACTGGTCGATATATATAAAAAAGTCGTGTTATGTTACACCACTTATAAATTAAGAACGGCAGAACAGATTTGAGAGAAAATTGGTAGTCACAATCGAAAGAGGCACGAGAAGAACGTAATCAACAAAGCAAACTGCAACGAAGAGAAGCGCTCAGATTCATAGTTATAAGTAGAATTGAAAGTAATTAAAAAGTGAAGTAATAATTGGTACTTTGAAAAAAGAATGCCTGTATTGTCATGCACTCAAATTTAAAAATGAGACAGTTGGGATGTGTTGCTCATCAAGAAAAGTACAACTACCCGAAATTGAAACACCACCTGAACCATTGCTCGGCATACTTCTCGGTACAGAGCTTCTGACGCGTCACCAAAGATGTCAGTGGTCTAGCGTCTGGATGAAAAAAGATTCGGCCTCTTTTTGGCCTGGCCTCTTTGACATGTGTGCTTTCGCTTCTTTCCCGTTTTTGATAGTACTGGTTTAGCGATTAGCCATAGGGGTTTGCGCTTCACGGTGTCATAAGTGACCAACTTTTCATCGCCAAGAACTAGACGCTTTAGAATCGGGTCGATTTTTTTGCGATACACCATCAATTCGCATGCGTTAATACAGTCAATGATGTTTTTCTGCGTTGTTTCGTGGGAGACCCATACATTGAGCTGCTTTGTGTGGGACGATTTTTTAAGAAGATATAGGCATTTATGTACCTATTTTATACTATCATTATAAAATTTTTAACTCGTGGGCTTAAGTTTTTTATTGACAGGGACACACTGTTATGATACAATTTCTTTATCAATTTTAAACCATCTCATAACTATATTTTTGTTTTATTTAGTGGAGCGTCAGACAAGGAAGACCGTTTAAGGATGCGCGAACACGCTTCGTGTTATTGTCCATGCGCGAAACAGGGAAATTCCAAGTTGATTTCGCAAACTTTTAAAGACTGTCCTTGCGATTTATTTAATGTCAACACAAAGGCCAGGCGTACTGGAAATTGTATGGTAAATCGAATGGTAAATCCGTTGGAATCATCGGTACTCCTCTGCTTTGTATTTCTCTTTTGTTTCACATCCAGTCTTGTTCCACTGCGTAGTCAAAATTGATTAATGTTCCACAGTATGATGACAACTGATCCTACTTTTAACTGCAAATTGTGAGATGTTAATACATGAAATTCCAGTGTTTTTACACGTAGGATAGTTGAATACGTCATCCTGATCACTGATTCGTTACTGATTTGAAGAAAACCAACTGTCCTGAAGAAAATTCTGAATGATCGCATTGAGATTCTTAACATCTTTATTTTTCGCTGCCAATATTGCTGACAAGCAACGCACCCAGCCAATTATAAATATTGAACTTTTGCACCATATCTGGGGAAACACGGTAAATAAGCGTTTTTAAATCTATAATGTGACAGTAATCTGTGGGTAATGTGATGAATCCGATCGAGGTGTCCATAGGAACTTTACTATTTCCAATTTCTGGCAACTCCTTCGCAAACACATTTGCAGTTTCATAATTTTTTAAAAATATTCGCATGCTACTTATGATGATTTTAGCAAATGTCATGTTAAATGCAATCACGTGTTGTCACGAACACTTTGGTAGCGTTTATTTACACTGCCGCTCAACTGATTAGATTCACATAAATCCACTTGCATTTCCCTGATTTGTTCATCACATATTGATCGTACGCATGTTTTTATACCCTTACATAGGGAATTATAATTTTGGTCCAAAGTGTGCAACGCAGTGAAGGAGACTGCACTGCTCTAGACTGCACATCTGTCTTTCCAAATTGTGTTGTCCAAGACGAAAAAAGGTCGTTCATGAGACAGACTAACACTGGATTTAAAGAGTTGATTACTGGTTTTCGTAAAATCAGATTGCGCCGTCTGTTGGTAGGAATTCAAACAACAACGAAAAGACTGTAGCACAAAGCCTCCGTGAAAAAAAGAAAAATTAAAGCACTTATTAACTATTATTAATTCATTTTTCCAATTCGTTCGCAAAAGAGCGATCAAACGAAATTATTATTTTTTTGGTTTGATAGTTGCGTCAAGAAGTTCAGATCAGTTTTTATTGGATGTTGGGTGGGGGATGGTGAATGTTCCCAGTGGGAATCGTTATTTCACATTTGTCAAAAATTGCAACTGTTTCACACGGATGAAGTCAGTGGGAATAGCCTATAGCCTATGGGATTTACCAAACATCTATCCTCAAAAATATCAAGGATGGATCATTTCTAATCATTATATGACATCTATAAAGCAGGGGTGCCAAAAATCAAAATCAAAAAATCGCAAAAAATCGGTAGAGCAAACCCCTATGCCAATGCTAAAATTATCAATAACACAGTGCGACTAAACAAAAAAATATTGGAGGAACTTTTGAAGTAGTAATTTTTTATTAGGTCGTATAAAACCGTATTTAAAATTTTTATACCCTTGCAGAGGGTATTATAATTTTGGTCAAAAGTGTGCAACGCAGTGAAGGAGACATCTCCGACCCTATAAAGTATATATATTCTTGATCAGGATCACCTCCTGAGTTGATATGAGCATGTCCGTCTGTCCGTCTGTCCGTCTGTCCGTCTGTCTGTGTTTTTGAAGATAGAGAGCTTGAATTTAGTACAGATTCTATTTGTGGTCAGTTGATCCAAACTACTAAATTTCATAAGGATCGTCCGACTGTATCCTATATCTTCCATATAACTGAACGATCGGAAATGACCCAACTTTCGTGTTTTTGAAGATAGAAAGCTGGAACTTGGTACAGATTATATTTTTAGTCAGTTAAACCGACCTACCAAGTTTTATAACGATCGGCTGACCATATCTTATAGCTGCCATATAACTGAACGATCAGAAATGATTTTTGGTAGAAATACCAACTTTGGTATTTTTGAAAATAGAAGTTTGGGACTTTTTTTTAGATTTTAATTATAATAAATTGGGTTATATTATCATATTCTCATAAGGATCGGCCGACTATATCCTATAGCTGCCATATAACTGAACGATCGGAAATGACCCAACATTCGTGTTTTCGAAGATAGAAAGCTGGAATTTAGTACAGATTCTATTTGTGGTCAGTTGATCCAAACTACTAAATTTCATAAGGATCGGCCGACTATATCCTATAGCTGCCATATAACTGAACGATCGGAAATGACCCAACTTTCGTGTTTTTGAAGATAGAAAGCTGGAATTTAGTACAGATTCTATTTGTGGTCAGTTGATCCAAACTACTAAATTTCATAAGGATCGGCCGACTATATCCTATAGCTTCCATATGACTGAACGATCGGAAATGACCCAACTTTCGTGTTTTTGAAGATAGAAAGCTGGAACTTAGTACAGATTTAATTCTTGGTCAGTTGATCCAACCTACCAAATTTCATTAGGATCGGCCGACTATATCCCATAGCTGCCATATAACTGAACGATCGGAAATGGTATTTGGTAGAAATATCAACTTTCGTATTTTTGAAGATAGAAGTTTGGGACTTTTTTTAGATTTTGTATTGTAATAAATTGGATTATATATTCCTATTCCCATAAGGATTGGCCAACTATATCCGATGTTTGCGATATATATCCGGTTTTAACTGCAAGGGTATATAAACTTCGGCTCCGCCCGAAGTTAGCTTTCCTTTCTTGTTCAATTTTTTTTTTCAAAAGCTACAACATTAAACTATTGAAAAACGTCAATAAAATTATAAAAACGGTTTTATACTATATTCGACTTAATCAACAATTCCTACAAGGTCTCTTCAAAAGTTTCAAATCATTGTCGCGTAATGTAATGTGTAATGTATTGGGTGCGGGAATTTTGTTTGCAATTAATACCGGTACATTGCAAAATCGAAACTTTATTAATTGTTTCATTAATTTTTTCTAGAAACCCACAGCAAAACCTGCAAAGAAGAGGACGTAAATATCCCTAAATCAGATGAAAAAGTAATAAATATAAAACAAATAGAAGAAAGTCACTGTCGGCAGTTCAATGCACCAAATTTAAGTCGCTATCACTTTGTAAGTAGCCAAGAGGTAAGTTAACATCTATAAAGTGAGTTTTTGAACTTAGCGTCTAACTCTATATTCGATCATTACCTTTAAGCCTTAGGATTGCATAGATATTAAAGGATTTTAAGCAAAATGGACTCGAAGCGAAAAATATTAGAGATTTTGTCCATATTTTCCCTGGTGACCCAGTGCAATGAGTTTGGTTTTAAAACTGATTTTAAAATTCTTAAAACCTTAACTTTTTTAGCTTTAAAGAAATCTTATTTAATCTTAATCTATTTATTCCTTGTGTTTTATTTTTGAACAATTTTTTCAATGTCTAACGATTCCATTTTTTTTGCCAATTTATAACATAACGGAATGCCAATTTATAACATGGGATTTTAGTAAGCTTAGTAAATTCCTCTGCTTCTGAAAAAAATCTCAAGAAACGGTCAACCGATTTGTACAGCCCTTCTAACACCAAGGAAGTCTAACAAACCGTTCTTATTTTTGGCACTTTTAAGTTTGTGGTGTTAGGTGTTGGGCTTAGGTCCGACCCAGGACGGTCTCTGGCGGACCTGTTCAAATGAGTAGCATCATCGCTCAGCTCCGATACTCATGAACGACAAAACCAACTACCTTTATCCCAAAATGGGATTTTTGTTTTCTTGTTGCCTGAAAAGTCTTCTCAAATGCAAAGCTAACATATTTAAATGGCTCTGTAAAGCCCTACGAAAAAACGATATTACTAGGCAGGATAACTTTTTTAACAAAAGCATAGCTTGCAAATAACTGTGAACCGAGTGCTTGGGTCTCAAAATATGTGTTGTTCAATGAGTTTTTGATCAAAAAGTCAGAGAGAAACCGTTTGCTTTGTTCGAATAAAACTTTTTCTCTCGCTCAAATGACGAACAATACTTTCTGTTCCCGTTTTCTCTACTCCTTCCAGGACCGTTTGACTTTGTGAGAGGATTCAAAAAGTCTTTTTTGTATGTAAGTGTGTATGTGAAAGTTAATGGGTCTTGTTTCATTTACCTTTGTGACATTTGGATATTCCGAAAAAAATAATTAAAACGAAAATGGGACGGGAAATAAACAAAATTAGAACGACGGTATACTACATACTATACACATGTAACGCTAAAATCGCCAAACTTAAGTGCGCTTCCACATGTAGTCTTGGCCATACTGGCTACTCAAGTATCTGTTGGGAGAGCATTTTCAGTTTTAGAATTTATTCTAAGCGAACGACGGAGTTCAATAAATGCCCAAAACCCTTACTCTATTTTGTTAGGCTAAACTTAAAATAATATAATAGATAATAGTAAATAAATATTATATATTTATTAACTAAATAATAGTAAATAAATACAGTAACAAAAAACTAAATGCTTAAAAAAATTAAAAAAAAAACTTTTTTTTTATTCAAAAAATTACTGTGCATGAAACAGAATTCAAAGTGTTGAATTGACTTTTTCGGTCAATCGGTCTTTTAATGAGGGTCTTCTCTGTGCGAACTTAATTATATCTCTCAGTGAGCGATGCATTTTACGAATCTCTCAACGTAAAACACTCAACCGAAAGCAAAAATCAAAAGAAAGTATGTCTCCTGCTCTGAGAGAGAGTGATTGTCAAAATTTGTTTCGGTTGTTCTAATAAACTAAAAAGGAAAAAAAAGGTTAACAGTTATTTGCGAGCTATGAACAAAGGAAATATATAAAATCGCTCTCAAAAATCACTTTTTCAGATTGATTATAATTTTCATATCGGATTTTTCAGATTTTAATCATATCGCTTTAAATAAATTTGTTTAAGGGGAGTTTATTTTGGATTTTTTTGAAAAAATCGATTTTTTTTTTTTAATAAAATGAAAGTTACATATGTGTAGAATATACGTGCCAAGGAATATTTCGATACGACGCGTATTTCTTGAGCTAGAGCGTTTCAAACATACCCATGATAACAAGAAAGCTATGTAAAGGCAAAGTTTCTAAAAACTTTAAACGCGTTTTTCTCGGAACCATGTTTTCAAACCTCACGTCGCGCACAGGGCTCGTTCTATTGATCCGATTTCCTTCATTCAAAAAATTTTTAAAAGTACATACTTTTTTTATTACTTATTAACATTAACATATTACATTTTTATTACATACATATTAAGTAAATTTTATAAATTTAAAGTATCTTTACACCAGTGGTCCTACAAGAGGACCTCTCCCTTCTTATCTACTGATGTGCCCAAGACTGTGCTATCCTTCCTGCGGCGGCTCGCGGTCCCATCCAGATTTACGGATGAAAGCTACGAGTCTGCGTGGAGCGATCTCCGCGAGGTCTGTTAGGTCCGTGAGTCTTGTTGCGCCCAAGAATTTGAGTCGGCTGCGCCCCAGCGCAGGGCATTGACACAAGAGATGTGCGACTATCTTTTCCTCTTCTACATCCCCACAGCTCCTGCAGTAGTCATAATGTGGCACCGCTAGTCTAGCAGCATGTGCTCCTATTAACCAATGTCCCGTAATGGCCTTGACTGCCAGAATACAGTCCTGCCTATTAAGGGCGATAAGCATTATTGATCCTAGAGCGGATGGGCCATATCATGCGTGAGTTCCTGCAGTTTTGGAGATTTCTCCATTTCCTCAGTGATGCGCGGTCAAAGTGATCCCTGCATTTTAGCCTACACGTAGCTAAGGGGATGCCTACTGGTTTCTTCTCCGGGAGGAGAGGATTGGTAGTACCTGCTCTTGCTAGTTCGTCGGCGGCGCAATTACCCGCGTGGTCCCTATGTCCGGGCACCCACATGAGGTGGATGTCATACTGCTCTGCCATCTCGTTAAGAGATCTGCGACAGTCATTTACTGTCCTGGAGTTGGATGAAAATCCGTCAAGGGCTTTGAGTGCCGCTTGACTGTCTGAGAAGATACAGATTGAGTCTTGATTGCCAATAAGAGCTGGGAATCTAAGTGCTTCCCCGATAGCTATTACTTCTGCTTGGAACACACTACAGTGGTCAGGGAGTCTGAAGGACTCATTTAGACACAGCCGTTCGTAATGGTAACCGCCTCCCACCCGGCTATTCAATTTTGAACCGTCTGTGTAAATATGGAGGGAACCGGCTGGTCCCGGGATTTGTGTGGCCCATTCATCCCTTGTTGGAATGGAAACCTTGTATTTTAAGGTGGGAAGCTCCCGTTGGCGTGCAGTGGTGTAGGTCCAACTTGGTATGTCCATAGTCGGTCCTTTTCTATATGCCCGTCTCGCGTAGCCTAATTGCCGATAGCGTGGGTTTATTGGCCCCCATTATCTCTACAGGTAATAGGTCGAGTATGAAGTCTAGGGCATCAGTCGGTGTTGTACGTAGGCTGCCTGTGATACAGACCACCGCCATCCTTTGCGTTTTCCTAAGTTTCTCTCTAATTGTGGCGTTTGTGAGAGCAGGCCACCAGACCACCACCCCGTAGAAAAGAATGGGTCTTATGACCGCTGTGTAAAGCCATCTTACTGTTGTTGGGGACATTCCCCATTTTAGGCCAATGGCTTTTCGGCATGTATAGAGCGCGATTCTTGCCTTGTTAGCTCTATCCATAGTGTTTGACTTCCAGTCCAGTTTTCTGTCTAGCGTAATCCCTAGGTACTTGGCGCTACCGCTGAGGGAGAGTGTTTCTCCTGACAGTTTTGGAAGCCTTAAGTTTGGTATTTTGTACTTTCTGGTGAAGAGGACAAGCTCGGTTTTGTACGGGTTTACCCCTAGTCCATTCCTAACTGCCCATGTTGAGAGGACCCTAAGTTTGTCCGTCATGCGGTCACATAGAGTCTGGGGAAATTTCCCAGAGAAGGGAAACATCATTCGCGTAAGCGATAACTTTGTAACCACCACCTTCTAGCGATCGCAGTAGGCTATTAACCGCCACGTTCCACAGTAGAGGTGAGAGTACGCCTCCTTGCGGAGTGCCTCTTCTGATGTATCTATGAATAGATTCTCCTCCTAGTGACGCCTCAACAGTCCTGTTTACCAGGATCTGGTTTATAAGGCGTACGGATTGATTGTCTATTCCTAGTCCCGTCAGCGCATTGATTATTGAGCTTGGTAGGATGTTGTTGAAAGCACCTTCTAGGTCTAGAAAAGTAATGATTGCGTATTCCTTGTCACTAAGTGCCTTTTCGGCGAAAATACTGATCTCGTGGAGTGCCGTCTCCGTGGATCGGCCCTTCCTATACGCATGCTGTGATCCCGAGATATCATCTCATTTGATAGTAAGATAAATATGGAGGCTGATTAATCTCTCCATTGTCTTGAGAAGGAAGGACCACAGGCTTATTGGTATGAAGGTATGGTATGGTTTTCCCGCCTTGGGTATAAATATGACTTTCATCTGCAACCACATTGCGGGTACGATGCTTATTCTGAAAATTGCTGAGAAAGCTTTCTTGACCCAAGACCTCAGATTGGTCCAGCTTTAATTAGTTGAGCCGGGACAAAGCCATCTCGATCTGGGGATTTGAAAGATACCTGTCACTCAATAGGTATTGAAGTTGGTTAGGGAGGGTGGGGCTTTCCCCTGTCTCTGCGTTTGCAGGGTTGTTTCTTCTAGAGAGCATCCCGGGAAATGTGCCTCTGTAAGAGCCTCAAGGGTTTCTTTGCTGGACGATGTCCAGTTACCTTCTGCGGTTTTAATGTATCCTACGTTTGGTGCAGTAGTTGCGAGGACCTGCCTGAGTCGGGAGGCCTCTGATGTTTGCTGAATGTTCGTGCAGAACTTGGCCCAGGCATTCCTTTTTGCCTTACAAAGTTCTTTGTTATATTGCCTAAGGTTCGCTTTATACGTCTCCCAGGCTGTCTCCTAGTTTGCCTTGCTGTCAAAATTAAAGGCCTTGCGGGCCTTGGTCTTAAAGGGCGCAAGTGTTTGCGACTACCATGGTGGTTTCTTTGACTTGCTATTGCCCGATCTGCTTTTGGGACAAGCTTTATTGAATTTATTTAATATTTATGCTTTATTTATCCTCCTTCATTCCAACTCTTTTATGTGCCCTTGCCAAGTCACTTTCCC